CACACAAACTTGTTACGAACCGATTTGGGCCGCTACAAACGCCACGGAACTCTTCAATTCTGCTGACTCTTGTGGAACTTATGAACTCAATACGTTCTTGATTGTTCTTGTTTTATTTCGCTTATACTGATTTGTACTGTGTATATATCAGGCTATTGTGCTGTATCCATTCACCAGTCGTGAGTGATTACGGGTCAAAACATCGTCTTATCACACAGGATCTGACAGATGAAACAGGCTTGACTCAACTGACTAGTGGTCAGATAAGAAGAACATGGTCTTCATTATCAATCTGCATGCTAGTCTGTGCACAGTGTGATTTGCACTACAAACTACAACTTATTTGAGGAATACAATATTTAAAACCTGCGAAGGAATGTTGGAGTAGACCGAGTGCCCGAGAAAAGAAAGGTAGGTTCACTTTAACTGCGAACAGCACCATACTTGCGATATCGGAAGGTTGAAATGTCTATCTCGTTTTCAAACGGAGTGCTTGCTCTTCTGGCATCCAAATCTGCTAGAAAGACCGGAAAGAACGTTCAGGAAAGCGTTCTTGTGACCTGGGACTTCGACCCTGCAGCTTTCTTCACTTCGACCCTGCAGCTGATTTGGTGAACGCCCAAACCGGAGTCGGTCCAAAAGTCGGCTTCGTCCAATCGTTCCACCGATCGACCCATGTGATGTCGACAGGAGTCGAGTCGGATCCAATTCAACAAGGCGAACCTCGAACTATACCGCCGACGTTTGGCCACGCCGTTTTCATGGACTGGCCCTAAAAAAAAGGGATGGAGAAGGGAAAAGCATTAAACAAAGAGTTTTCATCATGTTTAGGATTCATTAGGTGATTATATTTTACTACATCCTATCCAGAGTATATGTAAAGCCGCTGCTGTTGATGTTGTTGCTGCTCCTCCGTATATGGAAATAATATAGGCAATACAGCAGTCATACACTACATTACATCAATTCCAGCTGTTTGTTGGTGAACTTACTTGCTGTTACCCTTTGGCCACCTCACTACAGCGGTTAGGTAAACACTCTGGCGTTTGACAGCAAGCCCTTCGGTCTGCCTGGCGTAGTAGTACGCCCTCCCGGGCGCGTGTCTGTGCAAGACAAACATCAGGGTGGCCCCCCCCGGAGCCCTCCGGAGGCCTTCACACCCGATCAACTGAGGGCTCAGTCAGCCCACGTCATCCACTCGTTTGACCCCTTGGACGACGGCGGCCACCCTGAAACAAGACTGAGAGAGGTGCAGTGATTGCAGCGAGGCAATGGTTCTGAAGAAACTCTGTCACAATGACCTGGAAACAAAAACACCAGAACGGCATTCCCTGCATGCGACAATATTGGACTTCCCCTGTGCAATCACAAAGAGATTAGGTTCCAGAAACACCCGTAGTCGGGTTGATTGAGGCAATATATCATGAGCATCTCATGCTCCACAATGGTTTCTCAAGCACCCAATGATAGGTACTATATACTGAGTGAGTGAGGTTGCTGAAGCTACTCCCAACCACCCATTGAACAAACTTACCCAATCAAAACAAAACTCATGTCGGAGACCCCTAAATACAGTTTACATGTTTCTTTAAATTACCGCCACCTTCTGAAAATGTTATTAAGCTACAAACATTGATATAACAATTGTAGGTACCCACCCACTAGAATCACCACCAATAATACCCCCCCGCGCCCTTCCCCCATGGCACAGAGCCAGGCAAACGCACTCTCCACAGAGGCGGCACAAAACCGGATGGTATAGCGACATCACCTTTCAAAATCTTTAGTTGTTAGTCTGATGAAAAGTGTTCGAAGAACATCGAAGAATCACTATTCTAATAAAGGTGTTTGTAAAGGGAAAAGGAAGACCCTGCGATCTCGAGGTTTGTCTTTTCAATAGTTCAATGTTGGTAGATACGAATTTGATAAGTTGAAAGATGTTGAAAGGCTATATATAGCTTTCCTCGGCAACTTTGCGGTTCTAAAGCTCTTCCCAGGTTTCCATCTTTGCAGCTCCCCCTATTTAGAAGACCCCCTATTAATAAAAACGACCCCGGTGTCATTATTGTTATTTGTTTATTAGGGGAGAGCGGGGGGGGCATGTTATTTTTTCTTATATAAATGGATGGAGGATGGTGGAAGGGATTACTGTGGTAGTCAAGATTGCCAAGATGACTCATAAGATGACTTATGATAATTCTATTTGAAACTCTTCGGGGATGGATGAAGATCCAAGGTAAATTATACTCGCACGTTTGAGAAGGTTGACCTGGTCTCTTGTGCAAACTCATAGCTGATCTGCTCTCCCAATAAATTGTCAGTTCCTGCCTGCTTCTGGACCCTCAACTGCTTAACCAACTGATGCTTGCTCAAGTCAATTGCTCCCCCCAAAAAAGGACGGTTGTGATGTTCTGCTGGTTTTGGCAAAAATCCTTGAACTCAGCCAGCCATGTGTCGCCATGAGCTGAGTCATTGACGAACCACGGGTGTCGCCATGAGCCTCTGGCCCTGTCTCACGCCCCACGGTTTGGGCTTTCGAGCAGGGCCAGGCAGCCAGAAATTCTGAGGGCATTTCCAGTGGGTGAAGGCTGTCAACTGTAGCTAATCGGATGCTTCGATACAGGTGGGGGAAAAGGTTTGATTTCAAGAACCAACGACTTGGTTGCTTCATCTGGACAGTCGATCTGGCAAGTTCTTGTGGGCCAAATCATCTTTTCCCACACCATCCATGTATTTTTGCAGCCTACATCAGGGCCATCAAAGGGGTACTTAACATTATCATACATGATCGAATCTTTATAATATTAACATTATTGGACAAATTGTTCCATTATTACATGCATGGTCTGGGATTGTCTGTGCAATCAAAAGACCCCCCAGTCTCCGGACGGATGCACCAATCAAGCGTACTCAATGCAAATTTGGTTGCAATTACCTTAATGCATCTTGATGCTCAGCAGATCATCACTTTGAAATGCTCCCTTGTCACCTTCCAGTCCGACCCCCGTCAAAACTTCTTCAAGCTCTTCCGCACCTTCCCCTCTTCAGACAATCTCCTAACCCGGATGTGGAGTGCGGGAGTCTGGAGATCCCTGGAATGTCTGAGCAAACTTTTGTTGCATTCGAGTGAGGCTTCCCCAATCCCCCACAAAGGTTGGGCAGGTTAGCCACTTGTCCGGGAGATATGCCCCCACAGCGACTGTTCTCGTCGATGGATGTCGATTGCTTCCACCCCTGGCTGCTCATCCTTCTCATCGGGCACCTTGAGCTCAGTAGAGCTTCAATTCCACTCGTGAACGGATGGAAAGGAAAGATGCCGGTCCTGAAATTTATCCGGTCTTAGAATGAGGGCAAGTCATTGGCCCAATGGGTTTATATACCTGATCATCATGCCTGATCCCTCCGTGTTCTTGGAACATGAGGGTTAACTGTTAACTACCTTCTCCATTGATCCATGTACCAGAAACATACAAAAAAAAACAAAAAAAACATACATGCTAAACTATGCTAAACTGACCTGAGCTCGTGGCCGTGTGTTGGGCGTCTCAAACGGGTGTTCCTTCGACTGAGACCCAAAATCTAGGCCATCTCGGCATCTCGGTACTTGCTTGGGACCTACGTAGCGCTTCCAATCAATGGGTGACGGGTGTCCAGTGGAGACATCATATTAATATAAAATAAGTAGTGAAGGTGAACCCGTGGCGCTTTTGTCGGCCAGGTGAACCCGTGGTCAAAGCAGCTGGTATATATTCGATGTAAAACTCCCAAACACTCCATGAATACATTGACCCCTCAAACCACCCCAATGTAGGTAAATATATCCATATATCATACAGTATACAAGTCTGTATAACTGGATCGCCCATCAGTTCGACGTACGAGCGTCCGCACTCTGTGTCTTTCACCTGGAGTCTCAAAAAGGGATCACATCACGGACCATCTTCATAGCTGCTTTTCGGGCAATCTTTTTTCGTGGCGTGCCCAAGTGTAAGGGGTGTCTTTAAGCAAACACCCCCCAGCGGATTAAAACCTCTTCATTAAATAAATATATATAGTATATACCAGGACCTTCCCGGTGACCGAACTTCAGGATTGGCAAGTGACCTTTTCAAGACCTAAGTGACCTCATTCTGGGATCTCAAGAGGTCACTGGGAAGGTCCTGGTATCGGGGGGATATGATTGTTTGTTCGCCTACAGGACCTGTGGTCCGCCCATATCCTCTTCAGGACTTGGCGTACCTTCTCCAAACAGCTGGAGCTGCGGCTTCGCCGGCACCAGCGATTCCATTAGCCGGTGGAATCCCACTGTACTCCGTGGAAGCCATGACATACCACGTCCGAGCTATTGGCGAGACTGCAACGGAAACCCCTCAAGGACCGCTACATGGCTGGGTCAAAACCCGGAACCCTAATCTTATATAGAGTAGTCTATTCTGCCTGTCCATTTTCGGTGAGAAAAGCAGGGTCCCTCGTTTTTCCTTTTTTTAGAGTGAAGAACTCAGAAACATATTAATATGTCTTCTTCTTGAGTGGGGGGAATCCAATGTCCATCTTCTGAGTCATACAAGCCTCCGACTCCGAGTCGGGTCAGAGCGCGGGTCCCGTGCTCCGACTTGCGAAACAGCTGCGAAGAAGCGACGATTCAACTCTGGAGGATAGAACAGCCTTCAGCCCCTTGCGAGCGAAGCACAGTTAAAAGAACATGGAACAAGCTCCAACAAAAACACATGGCATCTCGACTTGCCTTCCGAAAAAGCTTCTCACAAAGTCACCCAGATAATCCAAGACGTGACTGTTGAACCCCCAAAAGGGATCAGCTCGGAACCCAAATCCGGAAGCTCCGATCCTTGAGAGCCTGAAGGTCTGGAATCATGGAACGTCTGGACGGAAATTAAACCGTTTTCCTCTACAAATCAGAGTGGTCCACTGAAGGAAACAAAGCAACTGGCGTTCTATAAGTTCTTTTTGAATGTGCTTCTTCTATGCTTTCTGCGGGGTTTTCGTTACACAAAGTTGCCGGACACACGCGGGTGTCGCACCCGCGTGTGTGTGTGAGGCGGTTCCGCTCAGGTGTCCCAAGTCTTTGTCTCTTGTAGCCAGCCTTAGCCGGTGGTCCGCCAGGACCGCACGAAACGCGAGGAGATCCGCCCCAGTCGTCCGGAACGAAGCAATCCACAGGATCATTCTCCTAGTTCTTGGGCTCCTCATTATCTCATCATCACATGATTTGGATTGATTCGGACCCCTTCGGATTTGTCTCTATTTTTTTGAGGGGGGTGCGAAGGTCGCCGTTCGTGGAAACACTTGCAAGGTCGCCACGGCCGCGCCGGTCGCCGACTCACTCGTTGGTCGCCGGCCTTTGTGGACTTCGCCCAAAGAGTGCGGAAGTGACGGCAAATGTGGAGCTTCTGGTAGACCTTCTCCTGGTGCTTAAGAACCGGTGTGAAGAACAAAAGGTGGCCCTTGAAACCATGGCAGGGTGTTGCACTCATGCAGTCACTCATGCTCATTTTGAGGTGTTGCGCTCATTTGCTTCTCTTCTTTGCAGAGTGACGTTCGAGGGTAGTCACATGGGTTGAGTTCGGGACGCGGAAGATGTTTCCCTTGGGCAGGGCACTCTCTTTTGGTGGGGGGATGCTGCAAAACATGTTTTCTGGGGAAGTCTTGAGCATAGTGGGAGATTTCCGGCCTAGCAGTATGCTGCATGCTCATAAAGAATCTCAAACATTCTCAAATAATCTAACACATAATAACTTTGGGTCTATCCTATTACCTGTAGCAGTGGATCATGATGGTATATAAGTAATTAGAGGTCTGGTCCAAAAGTAGTGATAATTGTTTACTAACTGTTACAGGTAAGAATCGACAGACCCTAGAATAACTATTCTGTCGCCTTCCAAGCTTTCATTTCATGGAGTCTAGGCTAAGCCTACCCTGCTTGATGAACTCGATCGGGAATGGGATGACATGGCCCGTGGCGAGTGGCAAATATATGACGATTGGGCATATAGTGTTGCCCTGATTGGCTTTGTGCAAAGAGGTTTGGGGGGCTACTCCCATGACCATCCCCCATTTCTATCACCAGCACAACAATTCGTACTAGAACCACCCAAAAACCTCGGGTGTTTGAGAAGACCCGCCGCATCCCATATTTATGTGTTTGCCAATAGCCATCCTGACATGTCGTGCCCAACTGCCTTCAAAACGGCCGTTCGGGGTGGTTGACTGGGGGGTCTGGCTGGCGCGGCAGTCCGAACTGGCAGTCCCAGACAGGTCGTGTCTGGGTTTGGTATTCCCTACAGAAGACCGGGATGAAGTGCAGAGTTCCTGCAAAAAGACACATCAGGTTCTTCACATCACCCCTTGCACTCGCAACACCAGGAACCGCACCAATTGCGGCACCCCACCAATACCGCACCAATGGGTATACATCCGGTTTCACGACCGACTCAACGTCACATTCCAGCAGCGCGGGACTCGCGTGACGTCCTTCACGTGTTGCAGTGATGCTCTCAATGGAACCAATGGATGAAAAGGATCTCAGCGGCGGGATAGAAATGCTTCAAAGAAGCCAAACAAAAGGCATCATCACATCCGAGGCTCGCAAACACCATCTGAAGACTTGAATCTCTTTGAATCATGAAGAAACCCAACACATACATCAACACATCACACCCAAACTCTGGAGGATGCTCAAACATGTGCACTCCTTTTCTGTACCCTCCCAAACTCGGTTCAACACGAAGATCCCAAACATGGGCTCCCAAAGGGAGCGGGTGCCCTAGACCGCCGCCCAACGTGAAGAGGAGTCAGGAATGCCGATGAGTTAAGAAGTTCTTGGAGAGGATTTGGAATAACATGGAATAACCACTCCCGGGCCCTCAGAATCCGGACCCAATCACATCCAACAGGGAACTGTACTAGTTCCGGGATGTTCGGCCTCTTCCTGCGGGCCTTTTCCTTTTCGTGTGGCCCTCTTCGTGTGGAGTTCACACCACCTATTTGGATCTTCGGTGGAACCTGACAACAACTGGGTTGTAGAGGAAAATAGTATTCCAAAGGTTCAATTTCAGGTTCCACGTGAATCCTTCCTGGCGTATTCATCTTCTGGCTTGGCAACCATTGAGGCCACCAGAGCTGGTACTGGTCTCATCAGCTAAGACACTTGGAGACGTACATGTCGTACATCTCTTTCGTCACCTCCTCCAATCAGGCCAGGGGGTGATCGAAACCAAACATGTTGCACTTTTGTTGTGATTTCCTTTGTATGTTGTACTTCTTTGGCACCTAAATTGGATGGTCAATGTGTGGGGCCAGCCTGATGTTGACCTACATGGAACCCCTTAGCAGCAAAGGTGCTGGAAACTGCGAGGTCGTTGGAACCGAAACTGCGAGGAGTCACCAGCACACGTTCAGCACCCCGACACGTTCAGCACCGTACTGAGCAGCACGTCACCACCGGAAAGCAATGCCCAAGACACGACCTGTCTGGGACTGCCAGTTCGGACTGCCGCCCCAGCCAGACCCCCCAGTCAACCACCCCGAACGGCCGTTTTGAAGGCAGTCCGAACTGGCAGTCCCAGACGGGTCGTGTCTGGGATGAGGAATGGATTGAAACGTGCCACAAACGCAACATGTCCCAACGAGCTGCATCGTTGGCATGGTCAATCAAAAGCCCCCGCATCTCGCTGTCGTTCTTCCACCCTGGCGCGCCTTGGATCCCCTGGTAGGGCCACTTGCAGGTGATGGACCATCCGAATGAAAGGGCTCCTGTGCACCATGGCTTTTCCAATGGCGCGGGATGGTGTGGAGGTGTTTAGAGGCCCACATGGGGTATCAAGATGTATCAAGTACAAAACTGAATACACTCCCAAAAACGGACATGAACCTGGGTCGGTTTTGGCACCCTGAGTCAGACTGTTTTCCTGCCCCCAAGCGGATGAAAAAAGGGTCCAAAGCAGTAGTTTTCAACCAGGGTACACTCCCGGCCGAATGATCGTTTCAAAGAGTTCACGGCCAGTCACCCGAGTCAATGGTCCATTCACTTGAGGACGCCGACGATGGACCTGGAGGATGTCCGCTTGGAGTGCAGCGATCTCTTCAGAACGGGAGAGACTCAGCTGGAAGGCGACATGACTTTCACGGGGCGTGTATTAATGGTTCATCATTTTTGACTCCAATCATCTCCAATCAGCAAACACCGGAATCCAGGGCTAAAATGCACCCAGCAACTTGCAAACATTCACCGCATGGTCTTTGCCGCGAAAAGGACTCCAATCTTTGGGGTACAATGAAGACGGGTTCTTTGGAACTTTCCGAACCATGACGGCGGCGCACTCGGCCCCAAAAGCAGGTCCGCGTCCGATGCCTGGGCGTTTCTTTTCGATCGCTCGTGCATCCACATTCCCCACGCCGAAGAAAATGGAGAATCGTGGCACGTCACTCCTTGGATGGTCCCCTCGACGTGTTGGAGAAGAGGTCCTCGATGGCGTGGACGCGATCTAGACCGCGTTCCGCGGCAACTCCCTCCCTCCGCCGCACTCCACTGGGGCGAGTGGAAGGTATGAACAAAACAAGTCACTCGCAATGGATCTCATCAACTGAATAAATCCCATCAGTTGTTTCATGGAGTTGGGTGCTGAACGGAGGGTGCCGTCGCGGTGCCCAAGTCTGGGGCCTGTCTTGGTGTGTGTCTTGAGACGAGTGGGCAAGCTGCACTGCTTTTTGGCAGCCCCCCGAAGCTTATTGTGATGGGAATAAAATCAAACGGTCGATCATTTGGAGTTGATCCATCCACCTGAAAGCTCAGCTCTCGTTTCGGCAATGGCAGCTCTCATCGTGAATCGTGAGGGTGCAAGGAGACAACATGCACTGGTTGGATTCGATATTAGTCATTGGGTTCAATCAATCCCACGTAAAGTTAAGGTTGAACATAAACGTCTGAAGTCACAAAAGAGACATCGCTGGGAGGGTGGGGTGTGGGCGGAGCTGGGGCCATCGCCGTCGCCGTCGTGGTTTTGGGATCGTGATCATCACATATATCACCACCACATTGCATGTGTTTGCTGATTTTACGCTGAACATCACTGAATCAAGTGTCTTTCTAAGGAACAAACTACTAGGACCATCCTGTCTGCCTGTGGTGTTCTGGCTGGACTACCCAGCCCACTTAGAGATCTCCAGCCACACCCAAACAGAATGGTCCGTTCACCAGACGTTTTGCGACGCTCCTTCGACTCCCTGGACATCCGGGTCCCATTCGAGAAGATGTCCTGGCGGAGCGCGGTCGAAAGCCAGCGCCGGCGGATCAACCCGCAAGCACCGGAGAAGGCGTACTTAGAATGTTTCTCACATTGGACATGGTTGGGACTGAAATTTCAGTGAGGTTACTCTCCCTGGAACTAACATGGAAGTGGATGGCACCCCCTGTTTGGTATTTGGATTTCATGGTCTTCCTTTTGCAGCCATTCCATCCACGCAATCATGTTAGTTCCAGGGAGTGTACATTCATTGGGATCACACATGGAGATTGTGTAACTATTCCATACACTGATGGTCTGGAAAGCTTCACTAAGTGGATTCTCACCGCATCGAGATGTCAATGCTTCCTTTGAAGAAATGTTGAGAGGAACACACACACACACATGTGCACGTGTCTCCTCTAAAACCCACAAATTTGTGTGGTGTTCATGTGTGCTAGAGAATAAATCATGCTGCAGATCGAAACGTTCTTTTAGTATTTCGATACAATCATAATATACAATCGAGTGCTCTGGCTGGGTGTCATTTGGCGGTTCTCATATTTCTCACCAAGGCAAACCCTCTTTTGCTCTAGTTCGAGTCATGAGGATAAACATGCAAAAAACAATCAACAAAAAGAAACACACTGCAGCACCCAAACTGGAACACCCAGTTTTCACACATGCTTCTTTTGTTTCTCTCTTCCCATCGCTCCCATCACTATTCCGCTCGAAGTTCCGAATGGTTGGCTGCTTCACCCGCCTGGTCCGAGCAGAAGGTGCCTGGCACCGGTGGGCCCCAAAAAAGGGGCGGTCAGAGTCGTAGGGCGGTGGGGTCAGATGCCGGTTTCCGGCTGGAACTGAAACCCGTCGAAACCAACACCATTGAACGATTTGACCGTGTAATAGTGTAAAACTGTGAAACCACTTGTGAAACCCTTAAAACATCTTAAAACAATGGTTCAAACAGCATTAAAGCAATTTATACTATATATATACAAATCAATTTGTGGTTGGAAGCCTAGGTAAACTCTACTACCAGCTTCCAAGTTGTACAAACGAAGAAAAAACCGAGTGTCCACTCAACTTTTGGTCCAGGTGTTGGTCCAGGTTGGTCATAGTTCGACATAATTGGACCTCTATTTGGCACCCGTGTCACAGGTCATTGTTCATGTCTCTGTCCTCTGATCCCAAGAGTCGTCTCCCGCCACGGCGGTTGGAAGGTCTCAGCTGGCTTGAGCACCCTCCGAAAACCGTGGGTCTCGCGAGTACCTTTAAAAAACGCGGCCCACTGCAAAACCTATAAAGGGTTCTTTAATAGGTGCGGTGGAAGGGATTATATGGCCCACATCTGTCTCACAAGTGCAACTCTTGGCCGATCTCGCACTGGTCAACGGAACTGGAACTCACGATGATGATCACTTACGGAGGGATGGCTCAAAGGAAGGGATCCACGAAGTGTTCGCATTCACCAGGACTACACACCAGGTGGATTCCCTTGACACCCCCCCAAAAAAAGCATGGGGCATTGCGAGAATTCAGTCTAGAGCCATGCAAACCACCATGTTCTATTTTTAAAAACAAACACAACAACCACACATCCAAACCTCTCCACCCGTCTCCACCGCCCCCCTTGGGGCGGTCTACGGCCGTCCTGGCCCCTCCGTGACTGGCCCCGCCTTCGGAGGAGGCCCGACGGCTGAGCGAGCGCCGGGAGCGGTAGCGGTCGGAGAGCTTTTGCCGTAAGGAGTGCTGGCGCGAGTGTTGGATCTCCTGAGGCCACGCCACCGTCGGGAGCGCCCGAACGTCGCCCCGCCGGCGGGGCAGCGGGGCCCCGGTTGGCGTGGTGGGAACAAAAGGGCGAACGGCGGAAAAGGCGTTGGGTCGGTGCGGATTCCTTTGGGGGAAGGCGGGATAGGCGAGCGAAGACTGTTTTGAGGTGTTGTGCCTGGGATTTTGGGATGCTGGGATGTTGGGATGATGAGGATGAGGATGAGGATGAGGATGAGGATGAGGATGAGGATGAGGACGAGGATGAGGATGAGGATGAGGACGAGGATGAGGAGGAGGATGAGGATGATGAGGATGAGGATGAGGATGAGGATGAGGATGATGATGATGATGATGATGATGATGATGATGATGATGATGATGATGATGATGATGATGATGATGGGAGGAGGAGGAGGAGGAGGAGGAGGAGGAGGAGGAGGAGGAGGAGGATGGCGCAAGTGTTCTGTTGTTGGTTTCAATGTTTGACTCCCAATGTCACATGTCCTTCACTGTTTCACATCAATGACCCTGACGTTGATGACTTTGGCCCACTTCGCTTCGCGTGTGGAAAAATTAGATCCGTTATGACCGCTACCATGGGCGACGAAGATCTCCAGCTTCTGACTGTGGACGTTCAGAGATGTGCTACCCAAACGTCCGGACCCTCAAATCTCTATATTTAGAGGGGTCAAGGCCTGTTTGGATCATCTGGGTATATATATATATTTATATTATATTATATATATAATATATATCTTTTCCCAAGCAATATAGAGGGCCTTTGAACCCCCAGTGCAGTTGCTTGAATACTTATACAGGTTGGTGGTGGCTGTCCATTCTGGGACCGGAGGAAATGATCAAGCTCTTTAGGTCTTTGCTTGGACAAACCCTTTCCCTCAAAACGATCGATTTGATCGACCAGGAAGGCATCAATGGCTGAGCACACAACGAGAACAGCTCCAACGCTGTGTCCAGAGATGTCCAGCAAACCAGTCAAGGCTCTCGTGGGAGGAAGAGGTAGAACAGCACCAAGATCACCTGCATTGATCACCAAGATCACCAAGACCCCAGTGACCCCAGGACTGATCGATGCCATGGTCTCTACATTCCTCTGAACATGGCGAGGGAGCCGTTTGCAAAACCGTCAAATTCGCTGGCTGGGAAGAAATCCAGCAAAACCAAGCAAAGTCATGTGGCCGTTGGAATGAAGATTCGATGGAATAGGATCAAATCGTTGGGCAACCACTTGTTTTGGAGGTTTCCTTTTGACACAATAATTGCCTTTGCATGCGTGCCATGACCAACAACTTACACCGCCTAAGCTTACTGCTGTTCTGCTGTTCCAGGTTGCAGCAGTCAATTGAGCATTTGATTCAATAAGCATGTGCAATTTGTCTCCAGGAGGCATCTACCTTTTCGCTACCGGTGTGAACTCTGTCCTGCACAAAAACTGCACTTCTCTTCCTACACTTCCTTGCGGGGGGAAGGGAGCATAGAAACTTCAAGCCTACTTCAAGGTGCAACTTGCCTTGACTTCACTTTGAGCACCCACCTGAAATTGATCATTGTGAACAATTGCTCGCACAGGAGCGGTTCACCCGCGATGGTACACGAATACCCAGACCCCCAATGCGGTTCAAGTGATTCCACAGACTGGGACAAAGCTAGTAACAAGGACGCTAGTAGGGGCTCCCTGCATCGCTACTAGGAACAAGAAGCTACTAATTAGTAGCTCCTGGCCATACTACAATTACAAGAAGCTACATGCCATGGAAAGTGGGTAAAACTCTCGCTTTAGTTTGACGCCTGTAAAAACCTCGCTAGACAAACGTCGACAACACTTTGGTGTTTGGTGGTGCTGTTGTCAACGCAAAGCACTTGAGCTGAGCTGCGGAGCGAACTGTTTGTGACTACCAGCCGATTTTTGTACTACAGCAGGCTCTCCAACCTGGGGGTCTTTTGAAAGCTCCACCAACAGCTTAAGCGATCTCCAAGGCACCAGGCCAAAGGGCACCGCCGGGATGCTACTGTAACGCGAGGTTAAGGCGTAGACCACTTGGAATGGAAACCACAACCTCGGGTTCTTCCGCACAGCGATCACACCGATTAAAGCATTTTCGTGGCATGTCGTGGCTTGCCCGAAATCGTGGGACCTTCTCTTGCAGCTGCTGTGCGACTCAACTGTATATATAGTGAAACGAAGCTTCACACATTGTTGGCAGATTCACACCACACCACAGCAAGTCGATCTTTGCATCCTTAAAGGTCTTGTTAAGTCCCGGCCACTTCAGGGATATGGTTCAACAGATCCATTCCGAATCTGATCCGATCTTGGTGTGGCTGAAGGGCACCCAATGAAGTACCACCGATCCCGGACGAAAATAGACCAAACACCGGTCCCATGAACATCCCCTAGCCTCTTTTGTCACCAAAAGATGTGGACCCTGTCAGACTCGAGGGGAAGGACTCTCGGAGGTCATGGACGTCGCGGCCGAGATCCACCGAAGAATCTGCTGTCAATGTCTTAGAGTCGCTCGATTCGCCAATTCTGAAGCGTCTGCAACCATGAGTAGATGATCCTATGCGTCCTACATGTGCCTTCGAGATCGACGCTGCGTCTAGGTCATTCGACCCGTGCTCAGAGAAGGTCGGTGCAATTTGCGGGTTATGCCTGCCTTCGTCATCCTTCGTCTGTATGTATAACCCAGATGGAGCTACAGGTTTCAAACGTTCACATTTGCCAGCGTTGGGCCCCCCTTCTCTAACCTATAGTGTGTCTCAATATGTTACATTTCACACAGATTTTAACAGTTCAAAATTGGTTTCATGGTGTTCCTGGATCATATCTTAGATATCTCAGATCAGGCTAACATACTGAAATGTTTGCGACAGGAAAAAACATGCCCAGACAACGCTCCAAGAGGCAGTGATAAGGTCAAAACGATCAACAGCGAGATCAGCACCTGAAATGCTGCGTTTGCAGCCAATGAGTTGAAGATTCTGCTACTTGCCAGCAAATACCAGCAATATGGAGGATGTGTTTTTGTTCTTCAGGTTCTGCATCCAGCAAAGAACAACGTGAACCTTCCCTGCACCATATGACGCCACGTACTGTATACGTACGCCACAAAACTCCTCCCATATCATTGACCATTGCAGTCTTCCAACCAAATTCTTCTTCATGACCTTCCAACATGCTTTCCCTCCAATCGGTTTCCAAAAAGTACCAAGTTGTGCGTGTGACACTTAGAACCTTCTGGCCTTCTGGATGGTGCGTTGATTGATCCATCGTTTGCATTGTCAATATCGGGAAAACCAATCCCATGCCACACACACATGCTTGAGTGGAAAGGGGTTGAGTATGGTTGAGTGCTAGAATACAGAAGACAAAGGAACATATTTTATGTGAATCCCAAACCACCCAACGTCCTCATCGTCCTCCTCAATCCCCAACGCCGAGCGACTGAGATCAGCCCCCTGGACTTTAACCAAGAGGTTTTGCTCCAGTGCAAACCCACCCGCCAAAAAAGCATGCTGATGCGGACCGCACACAAGCCTCAGTCGGACTGTCACGCGGGTGTTAAACTTGCAGGTTGCGGGCGGCCGGGGAAGAACAGGATGCAAAATAAGATATATCAACAATGAACCAACGTCCCTTGAGCTGACATCACCTTAACTACGTTACATAGTAGTTAAGAAATAGCTGAAATAACAATAACATATACATGTGAAGATTGTGTAGCCATGCCAGGAAACACGCCTGGCCGCTCTAAGTGCACAAACCGCACATGTTGGGCCCCAACATGTTGACATGATCCAGTCCAAGTTGCTCAAGAGCGACATGATCGCCCAAGCCATAAACCTCGGTTTCAGCGTTCAGCAAAACCGTTCGGAAACGCTTAGGAGACCGACGGTGATCGTGAAACGATGGTCCTCGGTGTCGAACATGAGCTCGAACCAAAAGACGCACTCCTATACACCTTGCACTTGATCGATTTTAGGCCGAGATATGCTATGATATGTTTGGAGACTGGCTGGCTCAGGATAACGAAAGTGAAGGGATATGTATTGTCATTATATGCTTCCATTCCCTCAGGCTAGTGACTAGTGACAGTCTATGGTGCACATTTGGGTCTTGATGATGTACTGTAAGATAAACACCTAGCAACATTGTATTTATATAATACATAACATTTTTATATATTATACAGTATATATTATATATATTATTATCTAACTATATCTTTAAAAAAACATAGAACATGTTAGAAAAAAAATAGATGATAATATAAGCATAAGCATATATATATATAGAGAGAAACATTGATTCATCTTACTTCGTCATTTTGATTGAGACTCTTCGGCCCTTCAGGGATGCTCAACGTCGATGCTTCGCTTTGTTGCCCTGCCCGGACCGACGTCGGCATCTACGTAGTGAAAGCACTCTCTGTCAGGATGTCACACACAAAATGGTGTGTTCGTCTGGTCTAAGAATATTCTCAACTGTAATTGAATGGGTTCTACCAAGGCAAACAGAATCAGCCTGGCCTTTCAAGGGGCAAGCTGAAAAATCCTGGCACATAGAGTTCAACGATGACAAAGTACTCAGAGGGCATCTTGGGAGCGAGCACAAAATCAAGCTGTTAGAAATTGAAAGCTTTCTCGACCTTTCTGCTTTGTCGACCATATACTATATGTTCCAATTTTAGCGGCCACCACCGAATGAGGTGCTGGAGTTCAATCGGGCATCCACCTTGTTTGACTCAAGTCCTGGTCTGTCTGCAAGTCTCCCGGACACCACACCACCCGCAACCGTTCACGTCCAGGACTAGCCACTGGCGCGCAGCAACCACCTTGGGACGGGCATCGCAACAAAAACTTTCGAAGCCAGGGGAAGGCATATGGTGGGTGCCGGTGATTGTATTGTCATGATCAGAGTTCAGTGAGATTTCATTGTGGGGTTCATGGAAGACATCCTCAGTCGCGGACCGCACAGTATATACTGCTGGTCGGACCGCTCCTACCCACAGGTGCGGGGAGAGTCTAACAGCGCGGACTAACATGTTCTTGTTTGGCCATGGTCTGCAAAGGCACCCAAACAAGTGGAAACAATTTGACCACTTTGAAGGGGGAGATAAGGTTGGGAAAAGGAGCTCTTTCTCCAAGCTGATGTTGTGGTGCTCAAAGAAGAGACGCTCGAGCGCGCCACCATTGTACAACCTGATTAATCAGGAGACCCTGGGGCCAAGCTTCATGGAGCAGCATTTTGCGGACGCAAACATGAGAGTTGAGGCTGTCATATCGGGGATTTAGCATCTATAGAGCATCTAGGGTCCCTTGCCGCCAAGCCGATCTTTTTTGGCATCAGGCGGTGTCGAAAGCATTTGGTCTCTATGAAACCTGGGTGTGGGAAGAACTTTCCACTTTGACTCCTATACTGAACCCACAACCCAGGAACACAATGAACCCCTGTGGCAGCCAAGGAACACAGTGGTTCAGCGGCGATGTATCCATACGCAATTCATCCGCCTGAGGCTGAGGATACATTGCTTGTGATCCTACCAGGAGAAGTCTCGGAAGCACGATGTCTGAAGCACGATGTCCGAAGAATCTTCAGATGTCCAAGCCCCACTGTATATATCCCAGACACTCCATGTATGCCATATATGCCTACATTGACCCGCAAAACCACCCTAATGTAGGCATATATGGCATACATGGAGTGTCTGGGTATATAAATGTAATAACAACACTGTATGCAGTTACCAAATCTTCTCATCTTCCAATCCATTTTCCTCATCTTTTGGTTGACGTTCCCTAGTTCCCATCCTGTCCGCCGAAACCTGACCCAAAAAAGAACTCGTGGTTGCTTGTTGTTCGGTGCGTGCTTGGACCTTGGTGAATTCCAACCCGGTCCCCTTCGAAGAACGTCTACGAAAATGATGGTGTTCCATGTGTTTGTTCCACTTGAAATGGTGTTCCAACCTGCCAACCTGCGAGCGATCCGATTTCAGAGCCCGATGCTCAGTCACCCAACCATTGGGCAGACCGGGTGGACTGGCACGAGGCGACGGACTGGCAAAATACCCATGCCCGGTGGACTGGTCCGGGTGGGGTCGAACGACCCATACCGTGGGTGCAAAGCGACATTTAAAGAAAACGTCCAACTGGAAACGGAACCAAGGATCGGTCTGAACGTTCTGAAGGATACTCTATATATATATATATTGAAGTTATTAAATTCAAGAATTGTAGTTGTTGTTGTTTTTACATATTTTTGATCAGGCTTCTGTGATGCTGGATACATTCATCAATGTAAAGGCATTTCTCTAAAATAGTTACCGACTGTTACTGGCAATGGGAGAGACCCAAAGTGAACACATGAGTTCTCTAGGGCCGATTGGTGAATGTTTTCGCGGACTCTGTGCACAGCAGCACGAGCCCAGTGAACATATGAGTCATATGAGTTAAAAATAAAAGCCATCAAGCAGGAGTCACAAAGTGGTGGGAACGTCACATCCATCAGTGGATGTGACACCCCGACTTCCTCCCTTCGTTCGGATCCCCCATCCTCCGTTCGTGACCCCTGTTCAGTGTGAACGACTGGAAGAAGTATATGATATAATCTCAAAGCGAGACCCTACAGTCACCATTTCAGAGGTGAAAGCAAGACCCCCTGCGTCGTGAAGGGGAGGGGGGCGAAGCCGCCGAAAAGGCAAATTTGGTCATCCCTTCCACCCAAAAAAACAGAAAATGAAGAAGGGATCAACATTTGCAGGAGGGATGAGGAAGGAGTAAGGACCAAATGATTTTGAGTGAATCTATATGAAAAATGAAAAAAACCTTGCATCTCAAAATTCCAAGGCCACCGACCACCAACCATTGTTTGGTTCAAGTCCCAGAAGAAACGCACGTCAGTTGCAGTCCAAGATGCTACACGAGGGATGTACTGAGCCATGAAGGGAAGGTTTCCGGCACTCACCTCATCTTGCCATAGAGGGACCCCATCGGCAGACCCCTCAAGGAAAAAACCACCTGGGAATTGTTCTCAGATTCTAACACAAATCCCGTCAATGAATTTGCAGAAAGAGTCATGAGCAGTCAGAACACTATCAGAACCCAGCGACAACTACTCAAACACCATTATGATCACTTGTTGGATGGCTCACCCATGAACCATCATCAACCTCAATCACGTCTTTGCCCCACACTCTCGCGTTGCAGAAAACCACAGATTGGCGGCATGTGGTGGTTCTTCAATATTTTACCGAGCTCGGCCGTGACTCCATGAGGCGCTCCGTTCTCGGCTCTCTCCACCGTCGAATTCAAACAATGATTTCAGGTCGCTTCCAAGAGCTTGTATTTCGTCTAAGGAACCGAGAATTGTTTGTCTTAATTAATATGAATGATTGCCCCACCAAAGAGGATTTACCCCTCAAGGAACATCAACATCACCCGAGAACTCCGACAAAAAACGACCTCCGAATCACCTGATCACCTTCAGTCACCCACCTGGTGCACCTGGTCATCCGCCCAAACGAAGATCGGCGAAGGATCTCAGTCGTTTAGAGCCTTCCAAAAGGTGGAGTAGACCGTCTCCCCAACAAAAACGGAATCTGTCTGTCGCTACGACCGAGCTCATAACACCGATGACTTGGGTCGTCGTCCTTGGGGAGCTGGTAGTAGTAGTGGATGATGATGGTTATATAGAAGTAGTTGATAACGTTGATGTTGGACCCTGTACTGACTGTTACACGTAATAGGACAAAAAAAAAAACGATGACCGGGTCAATCCCATGGTCGATCATTCTGCAGAACGAACCATCCTTACCTGTTGGATATGTTGACTCAGTTTCACATGCCCGATCACCTCCATGATCAAACATCTGGGAATTCATCTGGGAATCACTATAGGAGGCGAACACATGCAATATATATATATATACAATCACTCTGGCTGGAGTCCACCAACCTGAAGAACAAACTTCGAGTCCACAACATCTGCTCAGTCGCCATGTAGATGCAGTAGCTCAGGGGACAAGTGTCCGATCCTCAGCTCAGTGGAAAAGAACTCCCCTTTAAGAAGACTCCAAGGGCTGAAGGGCTGGAGTTTTCCGGTGATTCAATAGCCTAGGCATTTGCCGAAACAACGGTCTTTCGCAATGCTTCACCAGGAGTGAGTAGAGGAGTTGACGGACTAGCACGTCCGGTCTAGGGTGTCTAAGGATTTCCTACAAAGAGACCTGCTGTTGTGTCTGTAAGGAAACACGTCAGGCGTCACACACGGATGGCTGAAAAGCTGACGCCAGTATTATGTCTCTCAAATTGAGAAAGCCAAAGCACCGAAGAATTCCTTCACCAAGAGTTGGAACTCGAACGGCTTCGGAACTCGAACGGCTCAACCCCCCGAAGACTCTTTTTAGCCTACCACCACTTCGGACTTCGGATTTGAGCCAAGAGTCTTGTATATTGAGGTGAGGTGAGTACCACCAACCCGAAATGCATCGGGTGAGTGTGGGCAGCATCGCCCAAAACCAGTCAAAAGACCATTCTTCATGGCAAATACCATGCCCCTTAAACCAATCAGAAGTTGTTTCAACATGCTTCAACGGACATGAGAGTCTTGAACCTGACTGGGCTTATACATCCGTGAAGTTCCTGAAGCTTCCTACAAATCCGCCTTCCTTTCCTGCCGCCTAAAGAAACCAATATGTGGAAGACAACAGGTCACCACCCCAAAACCAACCAAAACCGACCCCCAAAACCCATCCTCCTCCTCCAAATAGATCCAAAGGTCCCACCGTCTGCAGGATCGTTTGACTGAGCTCTTCCTGAATCATCTGGTTGAACAAATCTAAATGGCTTCCCTCGTAGTTGTCTCTCCGGTGACCAAACCACTTCCTCAGACCAGTTGGCGGTGCGATGGTGCGACGCCATAGGCTGACATCCCTCGCTGTGACCAGTGGCCGATTGGTGGACGAAGACCAAGAGGAATTTACGCGCACCCCGCGTGAAACGCCTTTCCGAACATCATGTGCTGTTTTTTGGGGAGAATCGAAAGCATGGAGGGCTCACACATTCTCATGCCGGTAGGTGTGGAATATGAGAATGTGCCTTGCCGTCAGCGCAAATAACGAGCCGGAGAAACGTATATAGAGATAAAATCCATGGAGAGCAATCAAGGGAGACGACAATCTGATTGATTTTAACGGGTTGGAAAATACTCCCTTTCTATATATACTTGTATTAACCACTTAATAGTAGATGATGTCCTGTTGGTTTCAATCACCAACCAACACTCTGGCGCCAACCAGCGAGACCCATACAAGTCATCCCATAGGGTGCTGAAGAATTGGGTCTGCTTGTGGAATTGACATGGATATACCTAGATATACCATCCAAATCCATCCAAAGTCTGTGCAAGCACCCGGGTACAAACAGGTCATTGATTGAGACCGCCTTTAGTGCCTGGGGCCCTCGAAGAAGGGGAATGCCCACAATATCCACTCACCAGTATGGAACTGCATGGACCGAAAACAGCGTCTCTGCCAGGCATCTTCAAGGTGTGAAACACCAGCTTCCGGTCGCAAATGAGCTTCCTTCCAGTTAGTGGATGCACATGATTCGATGAGCAGCAAAAACATTTGGCCTCTTGAATACCTGGGCCAGCGAGGCGTGTCTTCGTCGAACGATCCGAGACACTCCAGAAGGAAGGCCCTTTCCGAGAAACCCTAGTTCTGCGGGTCAACACCCTAAATATGAAGCTTCAATGGCCTTCAGGTGGATTGATTTTCAAAAGAGATTGAGTTTGAGGATATCCGAGATGATCCATGCACAGATCGACAAGAGTCGATAACACTCCAAAAGCCGCCTGAAATTGTCCAATCTTCAGTGGCGACTTGCCCAAGTGAAAGTGAGGCGGCGAAACGAGTGAGGCGGCGTACGCTGAACGTTCTTGGCTGACCTATCTGTATTCTGTCATCGTTGCAAGATCGATCCAATAGTGAAGACGAAGACACAAACATCTCTTGACCTTGAATAGAAAAACACACACATCACTTTGGATTTCCCTTGTAGGTCACAGCTTTTTGGCGTGTTGAGTTTGACCAAATTGGCAAAGTTGGAGTCATCTCTACTGCGAATCTCACATTCACTGATATCATTTGGGTGAAGCACGACACCAAGCCTTTCACTTTTCGGATTGCGACTCAGCTCCGAACTCTCACAAAACCCCAAAAGCTCTGGATTGACTGCATCACTCTTGAGGACTTGTGCTCAGGTGTGACAGGAGGAGGATTGAGGCTTGAGGCTCTACTACTGGTACTACCAAGCTCCGATGCTGGGCCACACTGTGCATATATTTTAAACAATATAGATTTGAGGATGACCGCTACATTTACAGTCAGTCACGAGTGCTGGTGTGAATAGACTCAGTGTGTTGCTTTTACCATCTTTTACAAAACAATCTTCACCTTGCAGGGAGGAAGGCAACAGCCACAGCAACCAGTCCTATGTCATCCTATATCCAGTACAAAGAGAATCTATGCCAGTCGTTCTTCTTAGGCATCTGTAGTTGGGTTCCCTTTCATTCAACCACATCTGTTCCCTTCGTCGAACGACTCCTTTGCAGTCCGTGAGCACGTCTGCTGCCACGTCGGCCCGCTCGAATCGCGCGTGGCTACCCACGTTGGTCGAGGGGCGAAAGGTCTTGAGCTGTTCCGGCAATTGTGTGAGATCATCCATGAGCTGAATTCCGATGTAGCACACGACCGGCATCACGGTACCTGACCCACGGGTCGTCGGACAAGTACCGGAAGAAATTGATCAGTGAGGTATAGAAGCTGGACCCATCTGGACATATCCATCTGGACCCCAAAGAGAGGGGCATCTCCTCCTTTCAGCGCCAGGGTTGGCCGAAGGCCGAAGGTGAGATATCCTAGAGTCGGTAACACCATGGTTTTGTGGCTCTAGGCGTCCCAAAAAAACTCCTGAGAAATGGCTGTGGCTCCAAAATCGGGTACCCAAACCCACCGGTTAAAGGACAAAGGACGATCAAAACCTGCTAAAGGCTGTGGGCTCCAGGCTGTTGTTCTTGGAGCCACATCCAAATCTAATTAGATTCGAGTCCTGCTAGAGCAACCTGGACATTACTCTGTATGTGGCTCTCTCTCTCTCTCTCTTTCACTAGGCTCTGAAGACTAGTACCCGGAGCATGCAACCTTCCACATCCATCATACTTGCATCGATCACATGGCAGTGAACGAAATTTTTGTGTAAGTGTAAGCCAAAAAAGACATGACATACCAATACAACCCCTGACTGGGCTGATTCCACTCAATCGCCACGTTTGAAACATCCACTGACTTTTGTTCTCTTCTGAAGCAAAATATACCGCGCGCCGCTGACTTAACCGGTCCAGCGACAAAGAGCCACCATCATCACACCACTGGCCACTAGGCGCCGGCTGAAGGCGGTGATGCTCAAGTCCGACCATGCGAAGCCATAGAAGAGGAGGCAAACAATGTGACAACCAACTGACCTGCACCAGCAGCATGCAGTTTGGGTGGTTGATGCACCATGCAGTTTGGGTGGTGTGACAACCAACTGCACCATGCAGTTGTATGCAGTTTGGGTGGTTTATGGCACCCCCCCTGAGCATGTGTTTGGTTCTCCAACAACCATCCTGACAAGGTCGTGGAATGTCATAGATGTGTATGGAATTCAGCACACATGCGCGCCACGTGAGGAGATGGCCGTAAATCGCTGATCTTCCGTGGCCGTACTGTTCAGATCCTGCTTGGATTGGGAGATCATCATGCGATATCCACATGTCTAAGTCTAAAGCGCAGGGAGACCGTCTGCTTCCCTCCAGCGAGGACGCGTCCGTTTCTTCCCACTAAAGATCGGCCCGGTTCACCATGCCCGGTTGGGTCTTCGCACAATGATGGAAACCACCACCGGTCTTCTTTCTTAGGTTCCATGGGATCGTGACAGCGGGGGGGGTACTGGGTTGATCTGGATTGTAATTCCCATTGGCCACCATCCCTATAGCTGTGGATGTCCATAGCTGTGGATGCCATGGTCGTAGCTCATTTGGAGTCTCTCGTTTCGGTTTACCAAGGAGTCTATACAGCTACGGATTTTTGAGTCAGGTATGACATGGGATTACAAGGCAAATCAGATTCACTCGAAACGAGCAACGTGACAATCATGGTACCTATCCCAATGTCAGGAAATGCAGTATACTCGAAATTGAGATATCGTCACCAAGAACCAGTCGCACCAAAAAACTCCAATAGAACACCCAAATTGGCTTCACTTCGGCTTCACTTCTTCCCGAGGCGACTGCCCGCAAACTTCAGGCGACTGCCCGCCATAGTTAAACCACTTCACGGTTAAACCCGAATCGGCTTCGGTCACCAGGCGGCATAAGGCCCAAGATCAAAGACATCTTTACCTCGGCGACCGCGGAACGACGCCCGACTCGACGGAGGACATGGGAGGACACACCGGACACGACCGCGTTGCCGAGGGAAGCCTCAAAGGGTAATTACTGGTTGAGGCCTGGTTGAGGGTTAAACAAAAACGAATTTAATAATCATGTTCAACAACTGTTTCAGGAACCTGAAACAAAAAAAGAAACATATATTGCCCTATAGCTCTTCTATCCCCAACTATCACCAGGTACTACCCTACTTTTGACCTTTCACCTCTTCCGCGCAAATCTTTGATGCTTTGCATTTCAAGTCAAGAGTCGCGCTCCGGAAAGTGCCCTGCGTTTTTCTGAACATGGTAGTTCCACTCTGTGAAACCACCGACATGGAAGTGGAAAACCCATGGTGTTCGTAACATCTTCACATCTTTAAGTTTCTAGTTGAGATTCACTCATATATCATATCTATATATATATATATCGATATCATCCCCAACCGTACGGTAAATTGGAGAACATAGGCTCCAGCCTCGTTCGTCTCCACCAAAGATCCCATGCTGGGACTGATGCATCTACATTGGGCGTGGATCATGAAGGTAATCATTAAGGGTCAATGGGTCATCAAAGTCTTCCAGTTGCATTGAGTCTTTGGGTGACCCTTTGACGAACACGTCACTTTCACATGGAAGCGGAAAACCACCACCACCACCACCACCACCACCACCACCACCACCACCACCACCAC